CTGCTTTTTACACTGAAAAATCTGGGTGATATAAAATGGTAGATATTGGTGTTTGCAATCAGTATTATTACCGTATAATTCACAAGTAAGTCTTTCACGACAATGAATTTATTAAGCCAAATGAGATGTGTAATGTGTAATCTGAGGTGCTTAGGGACAGAACGCTTCCTTAATTATGCCGGTCTGTCCTTTGTGAGTTTGATTGCTTTATTCTTTATTTCTCTGACAGCTTTATTAACCTCTCAAAAGAGGTATGAATAAAATTCCAGTTTCTGGAGTGTGATAGGTGCTCTTGTCCTTTTTCACTTTGAAGCCCCAGTACCATTCTCCACTAGCAGGGATAGAATCACAGGCCTTTTCTATGTGTGTGTGTGATGTACATAAATCCTTGATAATGACGGTCACTTGGCTTTATTAGAATTCTAGTTGGTTAAAAAAAAAGATCTGGTTGCATTGCAGATTAATTTCCTCCCCTAGAGATATAGGAATTTGCAGCACAATTTAATTTATGTCTAGGCTTTTTTTTTTTTTTAAGCCAGAGTCTAGTTTAATCATCTTGTATTGCCAAATATAGATCATAGACTATAGGCTAGCTTTAGGTTTTTATATATAAGGTTTTCTAATAAGGTACATAAGTAATTTTTAGTTAAAAGTTGTGTGTCCTCAGATACTCATTTATTCTGCAAATATTTATTGAGGATTGGCTATGTCAGCCAATATGAAATATTAATTATCTTTCGTTTTTAACATGGAAGATAGTTCCACCCTAATTTCTTAAATGTCAAGAACACTATTACTTATCCAAGTGTACATTCTATAGTGAAATAAAGTTGATGATTTCATATTAAATAGACTTAAGCAATTTTTTCTTAAGCAAGCAGTCTTTTCATGATATGTGCCTGTTTGACAAATATAGCACATATGCTAATTTACTTTAGCTACCTGACAAACCAAGAAAACTGGTTTGATCAATTTTTAAAATATCCCACTGGTTCTTTGTGAATTGCCATGCTTAAAGGAAAATAACAAGAACGGTCTTATTAAAGTAACACCAAGGTGATATATTAACATATTTAAGCAAATAAAAATGTCCTATCCTAGATTCAACTGTTTAAGTATTTATAGTCGGTGGTAAAATAGAGGGCATTATAGACAAACTCCAAGGTCTACCAATTATTCTGAGAGAAATCAAGTAAATATCTCAGGAGTTCTTTGTAAAGAACTAGATAAGACCTAAAATAAGATAAATTAGTACAACTTTTCTGGAGGGCAGCACAGCAAAACATATTAAAGAACTTAAAATTGAATATACTCTGATTTAGCCGTTTTACTTTAGGACTTTATCCTGAGGAAATAATGGCTGCACAAAGATTTTTCATAATTGTGGGAAATTAGGAACCGCCATTTGAGGTTGGCTAAGTAAGTTACAGTACACCTCTCTGAGAGGATGTTATTAAGCCCTTAAAATGAGATAGGAGAGAAATATTTCTAATGTTTTCTGTATCTGTGATATTCAATGTATCACACACTCTGATCAGCGACCTCCTTTATTACACACACAAATGGGGCAAAAGAGATCAAAAGATGTTTTTATCTCCTTCAGAGAATGAAAAGGATACATATCCATCAGATATCAGAGAGGTTAGCCTGAGGACCAGGGTGGCCAAGTGGTATAGAAGAGTCAAGAAGGGTTAGACTGGGTGATTCGGAATTAACGACAGTCTTCTAGAGTTCCAGCAAAACTCACTGGAGGGACTAAAGCATCATTGGGAGCATCATGTGGAGGCACAGTGAGTGGGGTTGCCTGTTTTGTCAGATGTTTGGTATTAAGAAAGATGGTGAGCCTCTAAGGCCTGCAGGATAGAGAGGATTTGTTTGTTTGTTTGTTTTTAGGAATAAGGGAAGTTAAGCATGTTGGAAGACAGAGATGCCTAACATATCTTCAAGGCTTGTATGCCAAGCATCGTGTTGAGTACTTTATGCCCACAATCATATTTAATCCTTAGAACAACCCCAAGATGAAGTCATTGATGCTTATAGAGTTGGTTATTTGCCCAGCATCACAGAGTTAGTAAGTAACAGAACCAGCATTTGAATTTTTATTCTGAATCTATCACTGTGCCCAGGATTAAGAGAAAACCAAAGCTGCAAGAGCTAATGGGATTGATAGAGCAAAATGTGAGAGGAGGGAATCCCAGGAAGGTGATGAGGAGTTGCAGCCTCAATTTGGAAATGCCACAGAGAAGGTGCATATCTGACTTACAAGGTTCAGCATGTTGCATTCATGGTGGATGCAGCTGATACAACTAAGACAAGGGGTAGTTTGTGTTTGGTGTGTTTGAGGGCAGAATTGCCCTCCTGTGGAGCTGGTTCATTCTGGGCTCCCTGAACCTCACCCCTTTTGTCATCTAGTAACTCAGACTCCAAAGTGTCTGGGAATCACTTCATGCTCTGCATGCCCCTGTGCTGTCTATCTGGTACCAGTACATTTCACAGTTAAATGGTATCTCTCCTCTACCATGTCTTGTGATTCCCATAGGTAAAAGTTCATGGAAAATTTAGGGACTCAGGACGAGGGAGCTCAGTTGCTACACTGCAGTAATTTGTACTCCTTAGTCCATTCCTACATAGCAGGTGCAGCCATCGATCCACCATTCACTCAGTTTATTCATTCATCATTTATCCCATGCTTACTCTGTTATAGGCCTGTTCTAAGTGCTAATGATCAAGGTTAAAAGACAAACATCTCTGGGGATGGGGGTGGTAATTGAACAGAAAGCAGGGCCATGGGAGGATTTAATATTCTTAAGAATAGGAAACACTTGAGGTGTTTGTCAGCTGAGGAGTAAAAGCAATGAAGAGAAAAGAGGAGGTATTGCCAAAGTAGGCTCAAAAAGAGAGAAGAAAATGATGTACCTCTGTCACTTACTTCCCATTCACAAAGTGCCTTTTATGTTCTAGACACCATCCGTAGTCCAGCTACTGATAGGTAGAAAGAAAGATCTGCGGGAGTTCCCAGTGATTGGCTGCTGTTTTTGCTGTAAGAAAGGAATTTAGGTTAACTGCAGAGTATGTTAGTGTGGAAGTTAGGTGTTGGGTGTGAGGAACACCACATAATGCATTAGGGATTCCACTTGGATTCAAATTTAGCCAAATGCCAGGTAAGTTTTTTTGCCTTTGACCTTTGGTCTTTTTCATACAGTAAGTACTTCCCATTTATGAAGTACCTTTGATGTTCTAGACACCATTTGTAGCATAGCAGCTCAGCCCCTCCTTGGCCCCTTCACAGTGGGCAGATCATGAGTGCTGCTTGCCACGGAGAGTGACCTACTGGGTGCTCTAGACCTGGACCAGCAATTCCTCTCAATCTTGTGAACTGCTGAAGTTTTTTTAAAAAATAATTCCACCCAGCTTTTACGGTTGTCTTCAGTGAAGGCTTGGTCCAATTTATCTCCTATCACTGTGAAAATAGAAATTCTAGTTCATGTGCTGTATGGGTTTAAATCATATCCTCTCAAGAACCTAAAAAGGAAATTAGTGAGGTTTTCTTCATTTGAGAGAGGAAGAAAATGAGGCAGAGTTTAAGTTTTCTCTCATAGGTTTTAAGATCACAAGGGTTGGCATCTGGTGAGGGCATTCTTGCTGCATCATCCCATGGTGAAAGAACTAGGAGTAGGGGAAGAAGCAAACAAAAAAGAGTCAAACTTTAAAGGAGCCCATTGCATGATAATGAACCCACTCCAGTGATTACATCTTTAATTTGTTAACTTTGCCTTCGTGGTCTGATCAGCTCTCATTAGGCCCCACTACAAACAACACTGTTGTATTGTGGGTTACATTTCCAACACGTGCTTTTTGGGGTGCACATTCAAACCATAGCAGAGTTTGTGTTCTTAACCTGTGTCCACTCATTTTCTTCATTTCACAAAGCATCATAACTGTTTCATCATCAAAAGTATTCTTTTAAAAAAGATTCCACTTTTATGTGTTTCATAACTTTGGGCATGGCTTGGTAAAAGCCTAGCTATCTAGAATTTGATATCAATAAATACATTATACATTGTATCATTTGAATGGCCATGTAACATAGACAGATATATTATCAATTTTCTATTGTTGTAGATTTAGATATATATAGCTTCATTTAGTCCTGCAGAGAGAGAAAAAATTCCTTTGAGTTTGCCAAAATTGTCTGTGTTGTTTTATTTAATTTGGTCAAGGAATCCAGAGAATGAACTATATATGTAGTCAGTAATAGAATCATTTGAATATCTGGTATGGAAATCAGATTTTTTTTTTTAAGTTGGAGTCTCTGTCACAGCGGCGGGAGTGCAGTGGCATGAACATGGCTCACCATAGCCTCGACCTCCTGGTCTCAGGCAATCCTCCCGCCTCAGCCTCTCGAGTAGCTGGGACTACAGATATGTGCCACCATGCCCAGCTAATTCTTAAAAACTTTTAATTTTTTATAGAGACGAAGTCTCACTATATTCCCTGATCTGGTCTCGAATTCCTGGGCTCAAGCAGTCCTCCCACCTCATCCTCCCAAAGCCTACTGATACAGGTGTGAGCCATTGCACCTAGCTGAGAAAATCAAATTTTTAAAATCTGAAATCTTCAACTTTGGAAAATGACATCAGTAAATGTGATGTCAAAAAGCTTCATTTGTGTGCTCTTATGGGCCAAAAAGTCCTTGGGATTGTGCCAAAGCAGGAGGCTTTTGTGTACCTCAAATGGCTGAAACTCCACTGGGACGTCCATGGGCCTTTCAGGGTGCTCAGGAAGTCCAAGTCCACTTCACAGCTGTCTATGGGATTCCAGCACTCACAAATCACCAGCAGTGGGAGTTGCTTCAATGCTTCTGTTCCATTTGGAGCAGATGTATTTCTTTATCAGGTCCAAACTAGTTTGGGTTTTTTATTTTTTTCTTTTAAAAAAAGCTTTTTTTCTGCCTTTGGTAAAACTAAAGGTCTAACATATATTCCAATTTCTTTTGACAGAGAAAAAGACAAGCATACGAATCTAACCTTATCTGTCATGGCCTGCAGCTGGAAGCCACAAGATCAGTAAGTGTTGGTTCCTTTTCAGCCCTTGGCTGACCATTGTTCTTGGACCCTGCATGCCACTTGGAATATTGGAATGGCATTAGAAACAAGCAGCCCTGCCATGCATTCATCATAGACTGGGAAGAGAGTCCATCAAAATCTGCATTGTATAAAATGGATTTTTTTTTTATGAAGTCAGTAGATCTTTTTAAAAGCCAAAAAATTTTATAATGAATGAATGTATGGATGATTATTTTCTAACTTTAAGAGGTTTTTAAAAGGTTTTTTATTATACAACAATAATTTATGATAAAAATTAGAAAATGTAAGAATAGGGAAAATAAGAATCATTTGTGTCTTAGTTGTCCAGAAATAGCCTTGTAATCCTTCTAAACATATTTCTCAAATATATATATTTCCCTTTCAAAAAGGAAATATCATTTCACAGTTTTACATTTACTTTTTAAAAAATATATAACAAGTATATTTTGATCAATAAAAAATGATTCTTTGAAATTTTAATGGTCACATACATGATATTACACAGATATATAATAAGCAGTCCATTCTAGGTTTAGAAGATTAAAAAATTTTCATTACAACAGCACTGCAGTGAATAGTCTGATGTTTTTTCAATCACTAATTTGGATGGAGTGATGGACATATTAACAAGTTTGGTTTTCTGCATTTTATAAACTATTTTTACAATTTTATGAAAGAACTATGGTAATGATGTGAATTACTCAATTCAAACTAAGAACTTATTTTTAAGACAAAAATTTATGATGATTTGCAAATCTGTTTTTATTGTATCTTCGCTTTTACTGATGTTCTTTATGTACATGTATTTTTTTTTTAATTACCAACAACATAAGAAAAATCTATGTTTTGAAATTGTGAAAATTGTTGGTTTGGTTTCCTGGTCTTTGCTTTTGTTCTTCCAATGTAGGTTTTGGATGACAAGCTTGTATTTGTAAAAGTGCATGCACCGTGGGAGGTATTATGTACATATGCTGAGATCATGCACATCAAATTGCCTCTGAAACCCAATGATCTGAAAAACCGGTCCTCAGCCTTTGGTAGACTCAACTGGTTTTCCAAAATCCTCAGCGTGGATGAGAGTATCATCAAGCCAGAACAGGAGTTCTTCACTGCTCCATTTGAAAAGAACCGGATGAATGATTTTTACATTCTCGATAGAGATGCCTTCTTTAATCCAGCCACCAGAAGCCGCATTGTAAGTCTAAACCAAATTTAGTTGCTGTCTTGGAGTGATTTGGAACCTGCTGTTAAATGTTTAGTGGTTTGGTTGACTTAGTTTTGTTTTAAAAGGCTGCAAAAAGAAAGAGAAGACATAGGAGTACATATTCCTGTTGCAGTAGTAAACAATTATTGGATTGGTTATTTACACTATGTCCATCATAAGCTCTATTTTGGAATCTTTTTAGGTTTACTTCATCCTCTCCCGGGTTAAGTATCAAGTGATGAACAACGTTAACAAGTTTGGGATCAACAGACTTGTAAACTCTGGGATTTATAAGGCAGCTTTCCCTCTCCACGATGTAAGTTAAAAGACAAAAATGAGATAAAAGGTCTGCTGTCCACTCTGGCGTTAACAATTGAGAGGGTAAACTTTCCTCACGTTAAACTTCCTCCTTGGTAAAATACTGCAAAACACAACCTCATTTAGGGCAGAGAATGAAGTCATTTTGTTCACAGATGGATCCCAAGCATGGAGAAGGTACTCAGTTTAAAGGAGTGAATGAATGAAGAAACAGTATCTCTCTCACAGTTAATGTGCAAAGTGTACAGATTAGCAGTTACTTTGTATTAGCGTTTTTAAGGCCAGAATACCTGCTGTGCCCCTTTCCAGCTGCATGTCTTTGTAAAAGTCATTTAGCCTCAGTAAAATGGATATAATAATAGTACCTACCTCATAGAGTTAGGAAGATTAAATCAACCCATGTCAAATGTACTAACATATAATAAGGACTGTATAAGTGTTGGCTATTTTCATAATTACTAATAGGTGTCATTATTAGCCAGAAAAGTGTTATTTATAAGCAAAATACATGTTAGCTCTTCTCATTTATTCTTTTCTGTTACATAGATATTTCTCCCTCATCTGAAATACCATTTTCAGATTGTCACCTGGAATATCCCAGGGCTTTTAAAAAGGCATCTGTCTGGGTTGTTATCACAATGGCACTACACCAGATTGACATTTTTAAGGACTATATTCTGAGACTACTGCAACTTCTCAAATTCAGAAGTATTCCTCTAGCTGACAGTATCTCTCATAAAATGAAAATTTTTAAATGTGACCACCCTAGACCCTTAATGATTCCATAAATGCAGAGTCATTATTTCTAAATGAAAAAATTTATTTCATTGAAATAAACTAAATGCCACGTTATATTGCATTGTTACATTCTCTATAAATTTATCTGAGTCTCTAAGACCAGAGAAAGCAAAGACTGAGATTACTAATTGCTACTGTGTAGTAAATGTATCTATGGATGAAGACAGTATTGAAATAAATGTTCTATCTAAGGTAATAAAACTAGTATACTAAACAGCTACTTGATCCACATGGGCAAGTAGAGAACAGGGAGCTGGGTGTAGAAGCAGATACTGAACTTCCTAACAAGGAGACCTGATGTGGCTGTCCTGCCTGATGATGTGTGTGCTTTATTTTTGCGCCTCAGCAAAATTAGCAATTATAGCATGACATGAGTTTTGGGGACACTTGCAAATAGCTGTCATGAATATTAATTTGGGGTGCCAGGGTTCTATAGTATTCAGTTGACATATGCCCATGTCCAGGTCTTTTCCACCAAAGCCTCTTCTAATTGCAGTAGTCTTGTATCTGGGCTAAAGAATGATCTCATATGGTATTTGAGAGGAAGGTAGATGAAGGTCAGGACCTATGCTAAGGTCTGGCTGGGTGGTATTCTGGTTCCAGTGCAGGAAGAAGGAAGATGAATCAGGAAAGGAAAAGGGCAACTGAATTTAAACATAGGCTGGAAGTTTTGTTTCTTGAATGAGCTAAGTGTATAACATGATGTCAAGCTTCTGTGTTGTTTTCTACATGTTGTCACACAGTAACTGCTGAACTGGGGGCAAAGAAGATTAGATTTTAGAATTGACACTGCTGCTGGCCAGACAAGGCCCTGGTTTCTTCACTGTCCAAGGAGAGTGGGACAGATTCTTGGGTTCTTCCACTGTAGTGATTTTGGCACATGGGAGGCCCACTTGAAGGACATCAGACATCCCTGGGGCTCCCACCGAGTCCTTGCCGTGCTCCCCGGGATTAAACCCTCCAAGCATTCATTACACCTACGTTTGCAAATGACCCTGGAGGGAAGTGCAAACAATCCTGGTTGAGAATCACTAAAAATTAAGATGGTATTTTCATCCCTTCCAGCAAGTGGGAGCCCCTTATTCACAAATGACTGTCTAGCATTAGTATCACATACAATAAGCAATTTGTGAAAACTTGATGATTGTGATGCTCATGTGTTTTTTTCTACTTTACAGTGCAAATTCCGCCATCGGTCAGAGGATCCCAGCTGCCCTAATGAACGGTACCTTCTGTACAGGGAGTGGGCTCATCCTCGAAGCATATACAAAAAGCAGCCCTTGGATCTCATCAGGTGAGTTATTGTGGAGAATAATCCAGGGTGAAGCATTCATGGTTCTCTCATGGTGTCTGAGTGCAGTAGTACACACAGACTATTGCTAACCAGGGGAGCTCACGCAGACCACTGGGCTTCATTGTCCAGGGTTTTTATTGTGGCTTCATTATGTAGACATGAATAATGGAATTGACTGAGCCTATGTGGCTCAGTCTCCAGTCTCATCCCCTCCTTATAACACAGACCAGTACCATGTGACTCAAAACTCCAATTCTCTAGTCACTTGGTTTATCTTTCTGGCATAGCCAGTGCCCATTTTGAATCATCTCATTAGCACAAACTATCTAGGGGGGCACCATGAGTCACCTCACTGGTGTAAACTCTCAGGTGTGATCCTAGGGCCTATCATAAATTTAAGGAAATTCCAAGAGTTTAGAGGTTGCCACCCAGAAACTGGCAACAAAGACCCACCAAATTATTTATTACACAGAAGTAAATGTTATATGTAGGTTATATTATATGATAAGGCATAAAGCTTTACTCTTTTCTCATGTCTGCTGTCAGGACTACTATTTCATTGTATCTAACAAGATGTAATGACTAGCTCAGGGCTTGCCTGTTCAAAGCACCAATGAAGGTGTCTTCCCAAAACTTTTGTTGCTTGGGCAAGGCTGATACTGGTGATTGGTGGAAGTTAGACCAGAAACAACCAAAAAAGTGAATAAAAATATGAAAATAAACAAACATAGAATTTCTGATTGAAGTGAAGAAAAAACAAAGATAAAATGGAAAGGGATGGGGAAATAAGTCAAGAGAGTTATTTTGAATAGGTGATATTTGAGCCAAGACTAGATAGTGAAAAGGAGGCAATACTTTGAGGATTTGGAAGAAGTCATTCCAGGAATAAGGGTAACTTGTACAATGGCCCTGAAACACACATACATTTGGCAAATATGAGGAAATATCAAAGACTAGTGCTAATGAGAAAGACAATGATAAGACATGAAGTTATGGATGGATTTCTTTTGTCTAGAAACAAAGAACAGAGTGCCATATGTTCTTACTCATAAGCAGACCTTGAACAATTATCATAATACTATAAGAAAGGGACTGGTAATAGTGGGAAACTACCAGGGGATGGGGAATGGGATTGGCAATTGAGGGAAACTGCTAGGGGAGGGAAGAGTACACCTCATCAACAAGGGTACCTGCATAATCAACATTTGTTTGTATATCTAACCCTGAATTATACCCCACATCTTTATAATAAAAAAAAGACATGAAGTTAAAGGGGTTGCAGGAGCACAGAAAAGAGTTTAGACTTGAAGTACAGTGAGAAGCAGTTGAAATAAGCATTTACATAGCTTTGTATTGTTCTCATTTTGCAAAGATAATGTAGAGAATAGATTATAGAGGGCAGCAGAAGCAGAGAGACCAGGTAGGGGGCTATTTGAGTGAGCTAGAAAAGAGATTGTGGGAACAGATTTGGAATGTATTTGGGAGTAGAGTCAACAGGACTTGGTTATGGATTGCATGTGGAGAGTGAGGAGGAGAGGAGAGTCAGGTTATCCTCAGGTCTGCTTGGAACCAAGTACTTGTTCTTTCTATGACATCTCAGTGCCCCATGCAGGTGCCAACCTACTTGGGAAAACTACTTGACCTTAAAAATGAGAGTTTTAAGACACGATAGTTAGTTTTGTTTTATGTTTATTATGGGTAATTTTATACATATCCAAAAGTAGGAAGAGTAGTATAGCAAGCCTGCATTTATCTGTCAGCCAGTTCCAAAAGTTTTTAAATCATAACCAGTGTTATTCCCAAATCTTTCCCTCCCTCCTCCACTGGATCATGTTGAAGCAAATCCCAAGTATCATGTCATTCATTATCACCTATTTCTAAATGAAATGGTCTCTGAAACATAACCAGAATACCTCATGTTAAAAAAAAGCAGTTCCTCACTATCATCAAATAATGTGTTTAGAGTTCACTGATTGTTTAAAAAAACAAACAAAAAAAAGCAGTTAATAGTTTTTTGGCTCAAATCAGGATTCAAATAATATCCAAATATTACAGTTAATCTCTCAAATTTTTTCTAGTCTGTTACTATTTGTTTCTTTTTTTTTTTTAACAACTGTTGCAAGAATTCCTTGTATTCTCTATTTTGCTGATTTCATTCTCTCTTGGTGTAGTTGAACATGTTCCTCTGTGTTTACTTTAGCTAAGTAATTGTGTATTTGCATCAGGTAAGTAAGTTGATCCTCGTCTAGAAGCTTGATCTGATTGAGGTTTGATTTTGTATAAGAATACTTGGTATGTGGAGTTGGGTGCTTCTGTCAGAAGGTACATCATGTCCAGGTGTCTCTCTTTTTTGTGATGATAGCAGCTTAGTGATCATTGCTTACGTTCTTTATTTTATAGGAGATTTCATTTGGGCATACTCTAATTCCTTCCTCCTTTATTTTTATTAATTAGTTGGATTGTAATCATGAAGAGGCATTTTTGTTAACTCTGTTCACCTTGTAGAATAAGATTTTAAAGGGAGATATTTATACATATGTAAATATTTGAGGTTGAGATTCGTGTGATGTTTCCATTTTATTAATTTCCTTGTAAAACCTATAGCATCAGATGGCAGTGTGATGTGTTAGATGGGTTCTAATTATTCTTTTCTGCCCCCTCCCACTATTTTAAATATGCTTTGCTAAGGGAAATACATTTAACTGTTCCCGCCCCGTCGACATGTTCCATCCCTTCGTTGCTTCCCACTGGTAACTCCTTGAACACCCAAGCTATTAAACCTTCATCTATGATTCCCAGGGATTACCAGAAGGGAAAACGAGCTGTTTTCCCAAATGCAAACCAAACAAACTAGAAAGAATAGCCTGTAGAAAACAAACATCACAGATAAAAAAGAAAAGTATCCCCCCAAACTTCCATTTTTACCCCAGAGTGATAAAAGATGATATGGTATCCACAAGACAAGGGCAGGATTCTACTAAGAAGGATCATTGTGAGAATAAAATCTAGCTCTTAGAAAATTGAAAATGTGATAAACAGAAACTCCAAAAAACAAAAAGGCAAGTGAAAAAGTGAAGTTGAAGAAATTATGCAGAACATAGAGTGAAAAGTAAAAACAAATAGAAAATAAAAGAAGAGAAAGATAAAAATTAGAAGAGCAGTCCCAGAGGTGCAATATATACATAATAGGAGTGTTGGAAACCAGAAGAAATATAGAAAAGAAATCTGAGAAGTGCTTCCAGAGAGGTATCTGAAGAACTGTATTAAAGAGCTGTTGTGAGTTTCCAGGTAGCGAGAGCCTGCTGAGTGCCCAGCCTGGAGGATGAAAACCCAAACCACCAAGTCAATATAACATGACATTTCAGAGCACTGGAGATAAAGACAAGATCCTGCAAGCCTCCAAAAAGCAAAACAGAAAGGAAATCATACAAAGAATCAAGACTCAGAATAACATTGTACTTCTCAACAACACTGCAAACTAGAAGAAAAGAGAGCAATAATTTTGCATTTCTAAGGAAAGTAAACCTTCTACTTAAATTTCATATCTAGCCAAACTGTTAAGTGAAAGGAATTTTCATAGTTTAGATGTTGTGCAAGGTAACAAAGAAGGTGCTTCACCAAGAAAGAGGAAGACAGGAGCTTTAGTAAATCTGACTAGAGAGTCATTTCATTAATCCAGATTGGAGGTGATCTGAAGAGATTTATTCAAAGAATTGAAATTGATAGACTACCTCATGTGTTTGAACATACTGAGAAAGTTACACATAAGGAGAGAGTCTTGGGTTGAATTGGTGATAAGTACACAGAAAACAAAGCATTGAACCATCAAGACAATTATTAACTTGAGGGAAAGCAAAATACTAGGCAGGAAGAAAAAAGTAATTATAGCGATGACTGGATTCAGCTGTGAATAGCGTTTACAGAGTCATAATAATGTAAAGCAAGGGTATTGATCTAACCAAAAATTATAATGTAACTATGTCAGAAAGGATGGGAATAGAGATGTGGATGGGTAGAAGAGGCAGGGAGTGGAAAGAGAGCTTAAGCCTCATCTTCTAGAGTAAAAAGTCAATAGGGGATACACAAAACTGAAAAATCAATAAGCAGCACTTCTCACATATTGTTTTCAGAGATATGGAAGTAAATATTTGAAAATCAGCTGTAAGAGTTGAAAATGGCTGCTTCTGGACAGCAGCAGCTTTGATTAAGAAATCAAAGCTGAATTTTTTAAAAGTTGATGTTAAGAATTGTGATGTTTTTGGCAGAGAGTGACAATGATCAAAGAATATCACGTGTGAAGGTACCTTTATTATTCCCAACTTTTCAGCAAGGACTTGGAGACAGGTTTCTGTTTGCAATTTGAAAGATCTTTCAGCCTTGCCTTCAGTATAGTGGAGATGCGTTAGGAAGTATTGAACTCCTTGTCACTGTAAATATCCATGCAGAGACTGCCTGACCAGCTGTCTAAATACATCAGGATGTTTTTTCTATTGGGAAGTTGGACCAGCCAACTTCTAAGATTCTTTCCATTTTTAAGTATGGCATTTCCAGGATGGATGGCTGATGAGAACATGTTACAGGAATCATAACAGAAAAGAGGCCAAGATGTCTCAAACCCATTATCAGGCTTTTCCTTCCCAGGGTTCATCCCGAGTCTGCCATTTGCCTGCTGTCCAAGAGCCAGACAACAAAGCTCCAGGCATGTGAAAATGAGCACACTTGGTTGTTCTTGTCTCCTGATTCCATCCTCAGCTTGGTCTCAACCCTTTCTTTTCTCCATGGATGTGGCCTCCACCCAGGCCTGTGACCCATGGAGCTGGTCTCAGAGCTGCCCAGTGAATGCTAGTAGAGCCCAGGGATGCTCTTGTCTCAGGTATCTAAGGATTCCAGGTTGTGCCCAGAGCTATGTCTCTTATAGGCCATAAGAGATAAGATAGACAAGTGGGACCTCATTAAACTGACAAGCTTCTGCAAAGCCAGAGAAACCATCAAGAGAGCAGGGAGACAGCCTACAGACTGGGAAAAAGTATTTGCCAACTCCAAGTCTGACAAAGGCTTAACATCTTGGATCTACAAGGAACTCAAATGTGCTGAAAAGAAAAAAACAAACAACCCCATTATAAAATGGACAAAAGATATGAACAGACACATGAAAAAATGCTCGCCGGGCTTGGTGGCTCAGCCTATAATCCCGCGCCTTTAGGAGGCTGAGGTGAGTGGATTGCCTGAGCCCGCGGGTTTGAGACCCGCTTGGGCAGCGAGACCTCATCTCTACGATAAATCAAAAAATCAGCCGGGCGTGGTAGCACATATCTGTAATTCTGGCTACTTGGAAGGCTGAGGTGGAAGGATCGCTGGAGCCCAGCAGGTCGAGGCTGCAGTGTCCAGAAGCAACCACTACACTCCAGTCTGGATGACAGAGTGAGACTCCAACTCAAAAAAAAAAAAAAAGAAAAGAAAAAATGTTCGACCTCACTAATCATCAGGGAGATGCAAATCAGCACCACACTGAGATACCACCTAACTCCAGTCAGAATGGCATTTATCAATAACTCAAAAAATAACAATTGCTGGAGAGGGTGTGACGAAAAGGGAACTCTTCTACACTGTTGGTGGGAGTGCAAACTAGTGCAACCTCTGTGGAAAACAGTATGACGATTCCTAAAAGCTCTAAATACTGACCTCCCATATGACCCCGCAATCCCCCTACTGGGAATATACCCTGAAGAACTCAAATCACTGTATAAAAAAGATACCTGCACATGTATGTTTATCACAGCATTGTTCACAATAGCAAGAACCTGGAAGCAACCATGCTGTCCATCAAAAGAGGACTGGATTAAAAAAATGTGGTACATATACACGATGGAATACTACGCAGCCATAAAAAAGAACAAAATCATGAATTTTGCAGCAACCTGGATGGAACTAGAATCTATAATACTGAGTGATCTCTCACAGAAACAAAGATCTAAGTATCACATGTTCTCACTCATATAGTGGACCTTGAACATCCAACATAATACTATAAGAAAATGACTGACAGTGGTGGGAAGCTATGGGATGGAGGGGAAGCGAGATGGGATTAACGGTAGTAAATATCTGTCTGAGGATGGGGAGACACCTCTTATCAACAAGGGTGCCTGAATGAAGCATATTTGTATACCTAACCCTTAACTGTACCCCACAATATCATAATAAAAAAAATTGATTAAAAAAAAAAAAAGAAAGTTTAGCATGCAGAATGTTTATTGACTGGTTCCCTTGTAGTTGACATCTATGGAGAACATGGGAAGTTAGTAGGAGTGAGGCAGAAGTCAAACTGTGATGCACGCCCAATAACAACTTCAGCCAAACCCCTGGGGAGTGCTAAGATTGGAATGTGAGTTGTCCTATTGCTGGGCTGAGATATCAAGTATTTATACTCCTGCTTCAGTGGGTCACTGGACACTGGCTGCCCCAGGAAGAAGCAAAACTTTGGGCAAAGGCAACTTTCAGAAGCTGAGGGGGTCCTTGAATAGGCTTATACAGTAAAGTGTTAACTTAGTGGACTTGGGTTACTCAAACCCTGCACATTCCAAAGACAGATCTGGCTCTTGACCAGTTTCTAGCAGATAGCCTATAACCCTGTGGAATATCTAGCCTACAGAATATCTAGCCTGATCAGAATATCTTTGCACCCTTGGGGTCTTGGGACATATCAGATAGTTTATGTGAACAATGTGATATATAGTGAATGCCTGTTTTTGTTCACCTGGGGCCCTGGGACACACAATATCAGTTTGAACCCTGGGGACAGGGAGTATTGGAGACTCAGTAATTAAAGTCAGTCAGGTAGACACACCAGGTCTATGTGACTAACCCCCAATGAAAACCGTGGCTCAGGCAAGCTTCCTTGTTGGCTAAAGATCCTTGAAGAGATCTTTATGTACATTGTCACACATTGTCATTGGGGGAATTTTACATACGTTGTCACACATTATCATTGGGAAAATAAAGCATTGTTGGTATAAGCCCCCCCCCCAAAAAAGAAAAGAAAATCATCAGGCAGAGAAAATATATGCACTATTCATTAAGGGGAAGTGGATTACCCTAAATGTCTTTATCCTTGAATTCTTTACACTGAGTAGGCTACAGAGGAAGAGGGGTTGGCCTTGCTGTCTCAGGGTAGCAGAGGCAGAAGAGGTGGAGGAGGAGCAGTCGTATACATTGTAACTTTAATGAAAAAATCCGCATGTAAATGGACTCACATGGTTCAAACCCAACTCGTGTCATTCAAGGGTCAACTGTGTTAGTGATTTATGTTACATTTCCTCCAAGGAAGTTCCCTAGTTAAGTAAAAGCAAGTATCTGAGCAGGTTGTTTATGTTCATTTGTCTAATGGATATAAAGTACGGTCTTTTGGTCTTTTGGAGAATTTGTAAAATCGTGCTAGTGTTTACAAAGACTGATAGTAATACTCTGTATTTGCTTCAAGCATTTTTCTCTCCTTAGCTCTGTTTTGACATACTTTGCTTCAAAAGGCAAACAGTGATAATGCTCGGTACTTATATAATGATGTGTCATATACTTTTTGTTTCATAGTAGAATTCAGTGTGTGCTATGAAAATGAGTATTTTAAAGGTGAGCTGAGTCAGAGGTTTAAGCTTAATGCCTCCTTTTATTTAAAATCAGAAATTAATATTCAGGTGAAGCTGCAAAGTGATTATTTGTGTCTTCTGAAAATAATTTCTGTCTTTCTTCAGGAAATATTATGGAGAGAAGATTGGAATCTACTTTGCTTGGCTGGGCTATTACACGCAGATGCTCCTCCTGGCAGCAGTCGTGGGAGTGGCTTGCTTTCTCTACGGATACCTTAATCAAGATAACTGTACTTGGAGGTGACCTATGTTTATCCCAGTTGCAGCTCTGAAAAGTTGATTAGACATAAAATTATTTTCTTGGTCTTAAACTGTTTTACCAAACAAGATTCTTTGCAGAACACTCAGTGCTTGGGATGATATATTCCTTTTGTTCTGAGTATAATAACTAAGTGAGATGGAAAAATTTTTTTCTTAGAAAATCTGACCCAGTTTCTGACAGGAATATTACCCTTAGGAAACCCTCCAATATTTTAAGACAATGTTTTGTTTGAAAAATAAAGGAAGACGGGAGGGGGGAGAATTGCCTCTGAACTCTTGGCCCCCAGAGGAATGTTTCCTCAGCCCTGCAGATGTGGGCCAAGAGCAGCTCTGATTTTTTTTTTCCCAGAGTTCCAATGGGAAAATTGGTGTTGTTTTTGCTTTTGCAAATGATTTACTAATAGGTACTAAGAAATGCATATTTAAAAACTGAAGGAAACAATAGTTGTTTTGGGTTTTACATTTTAAAAATGAATCCTTACCATGTTAAGGAAGAAAAAATAATAGGGAATAAGTCTGTGATTGTTGAAATTCAAACAGCAGCTGCACTGTCTAAAGGGACGTAAATGGGCACTAGAGCACTCTGAATTTCACTATCACCATTGTGAATTGTGTTATTATTTCTCTGCTTTTGGTGGTCTCAACCTCCAGAAGGGATGCAGCACTAAGCCAGGCATTTTCTCTTGATCATCTGGCCCCTATCCAGGTGACAGCCAGATCAAAATTTCTGGGCACCAGCGTTGAGCTGATGACCAATTTTTTCAAGCCGCAAGCATATCAGCCTGCTCCCGAGGAAGGATGCTTACGTGGCAGCCCTGATGTATAGACATAATTACCCATTCGATTTAACAGAGGATTTTGAGCGTGCTGTACCCATTATGGCTTCTTAGCTAGAAAGCTGCAGATGGTTTTTGAAGTACTCCCCTCTTCACTGGAAAGGAATTTGGGGCCAAAGGCTCAATGTTGATACCTTTTCTCTAAATTTGTCTTTTTGACTTCACTGTTGTTTTGTGTATTATTCTAGCCAAAAAAAAAAAGCTCAAAAATACATTTTCAATGTGCAGAAGTTGCAGTTTTATAAGATTCTCATTATGAATCATTTTATGAAATCACACAACGTATTTACTACTATTTCATGCAGACTAATTTATAGAAAACTGAAGGAAGGTCTTGAGAATATACCCTGTGCTCAAAATTATTTAAATTTAATTATTTAATTACTTTAATTGTTTAATTACTATATATTTAATTACTATATTACTTTAAAACGTTTTGCATATATAACCTTAAATATTTTCAGTTTATTATTATATGCTGAGTAGATTCACAGGTATAGAAAATATATTTAAAGTATAAGGAATAAGGCCAGGTGCAGTGATTCAAGCCTATAATCCCAGCATTTTGGGATGCCGAGGCGAGAGGATTGCCTGAGACCAGGGTTCGAGTACTAGCCTGGGCAACTTGGCAAGACCTCATCTCTACAATTAATTTAAAAAATTAGCCAGGTGTGGTGGCACACACCTGTAATTTCAGCTACTTGGAAGGCTGAAGCAGAAGGATCACCTGAGCCTAGCAGGCCAAGACTGAGGTAGCTGCAAGCATGCCACTACATTGCAGCCTGGGCGAGAGTGAGACTCCAAAAAAAAAAAAAAGTATAAAGAATAATGATTTACTTCCTGATTTAAGAAAAAGAACATTACTGATACCTTTGAAGTAACAGTACTTTGCTTGATTGCCTCCATTTAGGAAATAACAATTGTACTAAATTTTGTATTTGTCATTTCTTTGCATATATAGTATTTTTTAATCACATATTATTTGTAGCCCAACAAAAAACATATTTAGTATTGTATGTTGTTGAAGATATGAATGGAGGATGTTATAGGCATTTCTTCTTCTATGAAATGCATGTTTAAACTTATACTTGCTTTTAAAAATAACAGTTGTTTTGAAACATATGTACCATAAAATGTATTCCTTTAAAGCATACAATTCCTTTGTTTGAAGTACATTCACAGAGTTGTGCAACCACTAGCACCATCTAATTTTAGAACATTTTTATTGCCCTCAAAAGAAACCAGTGTCCATTAGCAGTCATTCCTTAGCCCCTCTTCCCTTATCCCCTGGAAGCCATGAAATATACTTTCAGTTCCCATGGATTTGCCTATTGTAGACATTTCATTAAAGTGGAGTTATTCAGTGTGAAGCCTTTTGTGACTCTTCTTTCACTTAGCATATAGTTTTTAAGATTTATCTATGAGGTGTGTATCCATATTTCATATCTTTTTTGTGGCCAAATAATATTCCATTGTATGTATATATCACATTGTTTATCCATTCATCTATTGATGGGCATTTGGGCTGTTTCTGCTTTGGGGCTATTATGAATAATTCTGCTGTGAACATTCATGGACAAAATGAGACTCCAACTCAAAAAATAAAATAAAAAATAAAGTTTTCTGGATACAAAATCAATATAAAAAATACACACAGGGTCCCAAAATGGAACTGTGCAATAATTAGGAAATAATTTTTTAAATATTACATTCAACAGCATTTGGATATTGTCTTAGTCCTTTGGTGCTTCTATGACAATACCACAGATTGGATAATTTGTAAAGAACAAAAGTTTATTTCTCATAGTTACAGAGGCTGGAAGTCTAAGATGCAGGCACTGGCATTTGGTGTCTGGTGAGGGCTACATCCTTCAGAAGAGAGGAATGCTGTTTCTTCACAGCAGAAGGGCAAGAGGAGGGAATTCCCTCTGTCAACTCCTTTTATATGAGCTTCTAGTCCTATACCTGAGGGAAGAGCCCTCATGGCCCCATCTCTTAATACTACCACACTAGCAATATCTGTATTTTGGAAAGAACACATTCAAGCCATAGCAGATATATATATAAATATATATATAATATATTTTTTTCTCCCATTTTGTGATTGTGTTTTCATTTCTTAATGATATCCTTTGAAGGAAAATAATTTTAATTTTGATGATATCAAATTTACCTTTTTTGTGGTTATTTTACTTTTGGTGTCATATCTAAGAAACCATTCATTATCCAAAGTCATGAAGATTTTTTCCAGTATTTATTTTCTAGGAGGTTTATGGTTTTTGGATTATTATTTGAGTTAATTTTTGTAAATGATATGAGGTAGGGGCCCAGCTTTCTCATTTTCCATGCCTGTATCCAAGTGTACTGGCACCCTTTTAAAAAACACTGTTCTTTCACCATTGAATTATCTTGGCACCTTTGTTGAAAACTAATAGGCTATTAGTGTAAGAGCCTGCTCATGGATTCTCAATTCTTTTCCACTCATCTAAGTGTTTGTACTTTATGTAAGTATCATACTATATTGATTACTGTAGCTTTATGGTAAGTTTTGAAGTTAGCAACTTCAAAATTTTATTCTTCTTTTCAAGATGTTTTGGTTATGCTGAGTCCTTTGCATTTCCATATGAATTTTAGGATCAGATTGTCTATTTCTGAAAAATATCCTGCTGGGATTTTGATAGGAATTATGTTGACTCCATAGGTCACTTTGAAGAGGATTGTCATCTTAGCAGTACTAAGTTTTCTAATCCATGGACATAAGATGCCTTTTAATTTCTATCAACACTTTTAATTTTCAGTGTGTAATTTTTCTTTTAAGTTTATTCTGAGTATTTTTTATGGTATTATAAATGAAATTGTTTTCTTAATTTAATTTCTGGGTTATTTATTACTAATATATAGGGATAAAATGACTTTTTGTGTATATATATAATTTTTTTTTGGTACTGCAGCCTTGCTAAACTGACTTATTTGCTCTATGGTATTTTGGTGGATTCCCTCGGATTTTTATACAGTGTCATGTCATCTGTGAAAAGAAATAGTTTTACTTCTTCCTTTCCAATCTGGAGGCCCTTTTTTCCTTTCCTT